TTTGATTAAAAAAATTTACAAAATACAAAGTCATGCCTTAAATTAGGTCAGTCAGAAATGCGTAACATTATTTTCAGTGCGTCTGTATTGTAGATTTATTGCCCTGCCTTAATTTTGCCTTTATGTCTTCACAAAAGGTCATTTTGTCTGTTTTGCTTCTATTTAATTTTAAAAGGTAATCTGTCCTCTGCAACGCTTCATTTGTGTTAAACAGTTGTCTGTGTCCCTTTATGTTTTCTGCCCAAACAGTGCTGTGGCTTGTTTGGCTCAAATATTCCTAAGAACAAAGTAGTTGAGAGAGATATTGTGCAGAGAGATATTATACCCACAGACCCACAACTGTTAATCAAATTAATATGTTGTTTAACTGATTTTCAAAGAAAGAGAACAGTCTTCTCAACTTTCCAAAATTCAAAAATAACTAAAGTCACACTTCTTATAATTACAACCCTGCTCTTCGCAGTATAAAGTTGTTAATTTAAACCAAGTGATATGTCAACAGGCAACATGCTGTACAACATTAAGGATATGAGACCATTGTGGGTCAACTCACAGCCATATCTATTTTTACATTACCTTATTATTCATGAAGGCTTTGAGACATTGGACGGCTTTATGTTGGTTCTTTTTGTCCATCTTCTCCTGTCTAGGGACACAAGAGTAAAGAGGTGTAGTTGACTACAAACTATACAATTTGATAGGGAAAAATGCAAGAATGTCATGATGATAGAAAATAATTTCAACTCATTGTTGTAGAATTATTTTGTTAACATGATTAAATAAAGTGAAAAAACTGTGCAACTTTGTTATTATTAGTTCGCAGTGATCATATGAATTTACAAATAATGATAGTGAGACAGGTAGAAGTCTGTATGTGAGTGAATGCATAAAACTTACTGTTTCTTGAACAGCAACCTCTCCAAAATGTCCAGCAGCAGTCCAAGACCCTCATGCCCAAAGACCTGCACCCAGCTGAAATAACAAACAATAAATCAATACCACAACATTGTAAGACTGAAAACTAACAACACTTTCATACTGAACTACTGCAGAAAGTTTTAAGAAAACAGAACAAACATAGGTAAAAGTTAAAATAAAAAGAAAAAAGCAGCAGAGGTAAACATAGGTTAACATGTTCATATGAAAGGCTGCACTATAATATTGTAGTGACACAGAAACAACCACTGGAAAACACATTCTTAAAAAGTTAACTATATTTTACATACAGCTCAACACATTTTTGACAACATATCAATATTTAAGAGAGTTCTCCAATCTAATGATAATAAACTATGTATTATTTTTAAATATCAACTCACAATAAAAACAATCATTTTTGATTTATTGTTTAAAAATAACAGTTGGAAAATGTTGGGTTTTTTTCTAGGGGATTCTGAATTATACATATTATGGTGCTGCCATTTTTAAACCTCAAACATACAGCATGTGTGGCAGTGTGGCATAGCAATTACATATTATACAAAGACTTCCTTTAGTTCTCACTTAAAAATTAGTGACTGCTAAAACTGTACTTTAAGCAGATGAAACAACAAGATTACAGTGGCAAGAAAAAGTATGTGAACCTTTTAGAATTTCATGGTTTTCTGCATTGTCATAAAATGTGATCGGATGGTCATCTAAGTCAAGAGTACTGACAAATATATATCTTTCATGTTATTATTGAATACACTTATTCAACATTCAAAATGGTAGTGGAAAAAGTAAGTGAACCCCTGGAATTAATAACTGGTTGACACCAGTAACAGCCTCAACCAGGTGCTTCCTGTAGCTGTTGATCAGACCTGCACATCGTTCAGGAGGAATTTTAGCCCATTCTTCCTGGTAGAACAGTTTTAGATCCGTCATATTCTTTGGATGTCTCATGTGTATGGCTCTCTTCAAGTCATTCAATAGCATCTATTGGGTTGAGCTCTGGGCTCTGACTTGGCCACTCCAAAAGGCGGATTTTGTTTTTCTGAAGCCATTTGGTTGTGGACTTGCTCCAGTGTTTTGGGTCATTGTCCTGTTGCATCACCCAACTTCTACTGAGTTTCAGCTGATGTACAGACATACTCACATTATCCTGAAGAATTTTTTGATACACTTGGGAATTAATCTTCCCCTCAATGATTGCAAGCTGGCCAGGCCCTAAAGCAACAAAGCAGGCCCAAATCATGATGTTTCCTGGGATGATGTTTTCATGATGATATGCCATCATGAAATGATGATATGCCCTTTTTACACCAGATGTAGTGCGGCATGTTCTTTCCAAATAGTTCAGTCTTAGTTTCATCACTCCACAAAACATTTTGCCAATACCGCTGTGGAGTCTCAATGTGCTCTTTTGCAAACTTCAGGCCTGCAGCAATGTTCTTTTTACTAAGCAGCAGCTTCCTTTGTGGTGTCCTGCCATAGACACCCTGCTTGTTCAATGTTTTACATACTGTAGACTCACGAACACAGATGTCATCCAGGTGCAATGATGCCTTCAAATCTTTGGATGTCATTCGAGGTTGTTTCTTTACCTCAGCAATGAGTCTTCGTTGTGCTCTTGGGGTCATTTTGACAGGGCGCCCACTTCTTGGTAGAGTAGCCACAGTCCCAAAGTGTCTCCATTTGTAGATCGTTTGCCTAACTGTAGACTGGTGAATTTTTAAAGTCTTTGAAATCATTTTGAAACGGTTTCCAGCTTTATGTAAACCAACAATTCTTGATCATAGATCCTCTGAAAGCTGTTTTTGTCGGGGCATGGCTCACATAAGCACTTTTTTTTTTGTGCAGAGCAAATTCAAAAGGTTCGAGTGGTCAGTCAAAGTAGCTCCACTCCACACCTCCAAACTCATTTTTTTTAAGACTCCAGGTATGCTAACACCTGACTCCAATTAGCTTTTTTGAGGTCATGAACACAAGGGTTCACATACTTTTTCCACTAGTATTGAGGTTTTTAATGGTTGTTCTCAGTAAACACATGAAAGAACCTAAATTGTTTGTTATTATTTTAGGCACATTATTTGTCAGTACTCTTGACTTAGATGAAGATCAGATCACATTTTATGGCAAACTAATGCCGAAAACCATGAAATTCCAAAAGGTTCACATACTTTTTCTTGTCACTGTATGTGTGAAAGTGGTGCATAGCATAGTAGGAGCGCTACACTACTGCTTGATGAAACCAACTCCAATTTTGAGACTTTTTGGATACGATCAGAACAGAATGGCAATTTTGTAGAGGGGGAAAAAAAAAAGTTATTTTCTTGCTACTGATAAATTATAGATTTGAAAAGGGACAAAAAGCAACAACAGCATTTAAAAAAACAGAGAACTTGTAACTCTGATTCATACAAGAGGCACGCATGAGAGTTTAGACAAAAACCTTTAGGTATGCAGAAAACAAAGACAAGGTAAGTGAGATTGTGAGTGACTGCACCTCCCTCCTGATTGAAACTGAATAACATTAGCATTCAGTGTTTGTACTGTTCTAATCAACAAACTGCATGCCTCCCAGCATCAAATCTACAGAAATTCTCAAGGTGACAACATAAAATGGGAAGCTGTTTTCTGAATTTAATTTCTTTAAAAAGAGTATGGGTTGTACAGAGATGTGTGTCAATGACTTCATTTGTCTATTGTTACACTGCTGTGTCTGATAAATAATAGTGACAAATATCAGTTTCTGTAATAAAAATCTATTACAAAAATGGATGGCAAATACTTAATTTGTTTTATTTAACTAACACTAAATACAAACTTGTGCTTTCCTTAAGCAGTGCAGATAACGGATGGATGGATGGATGGTATAAAGACTGACTTTTTCAAAGTGCCTAAGTGTAAACTGTCTCAAGAGCAGTGAGCATTAGACACAAACAGCAGTCCCATATACACTAGATGCTATATTTGCTTAATCTTTCCTGATAAATTAAGCTGAAGTCTAGACCATCCTGTGCACACTTTCTGTATACAGACAAACTTTTATGGTGAATCAGAGATCTGTGCTTCGTGTCCAAACTATTCCCTGTGAGCTAGAGGTAGGATTGTGCAAGAAATTCAGTGGAAAAAAAGTTGCTGCTTTTGATGTATTTGAGCCTGTGTTTTGAAAAATTATGTAGAAAGATTTTTGGGCATCCTGTTGCCTAAGTTAGCCAATGTGCATAATGAAGCACAAACAGCATGTAACAATGATGCACTGACTTTTAATATATTCAAACATATTCTGCTGTACACACAAAATAAAAACAATAATCTAGAAATGTCTCTTCATTAGTGATTTAAGCATATGAAATGGTGTTGGATGTTGATTTTAATCATACAAACTTCTATCTTAAGTACTTTCCACTTACAAATGAGAGCTAAAAGTCCAGCAGGTAGTGTAGGGTCCACATCAAGGTGCATGTGCAAATGTGAGGCAGGATCAAGCATACAGGGGAGGCTGATAAAAGCCATGCCAGCCATGTTGATGAAGACAGGGAAGACGGTTGCCAAGGTTGCAAAGGAATGAGATTCTCATATTTGAGAAAAAAAATTCCATTTAGCCTAGACCTCTCGCTGGGCCATGGCCTAGGCCATTGTGGATATAGAGTACACAGGGCAGGGGTTTTCACAAAAGCTTTTGAAATGCATGGCTCAGTAGCAGCTGCATGATAGTTTTTCATTATCAGTATGTGAGACAGAGAGCAAAGGAAAGTAATCAGTTGATTTATAGCAGGAATTATTGTACAAGGAACCAAAAGGCCTACACTACCACAAATTTGAAAGACATGTGTTTGAAACACAAGAGAGAAAAATAAAAGGGGATTGTGGTAACATAAGTCACCTTTCAGTGGCTTCTAGTAAAGGACCTGGTAAATTATAGACGCTCTCAGGGGCCAACAAGGGAACGATCTCATACCTTTTTGCAATATCAAGAAAGTCTCATCTTCAAGAACAAGAAGGCTGAGGCAATAATGTATCTAAGGGGTGCGTGTTTGTGTCATGGCAGAAGATAAGGGAGAGCTGAAATGAGGTGGATGACAAAAGGCACCAATGGAGGCGCCTACTGCATCAGAGTTGGGAATGCTAAAAATTTCAAGCTTGTGGGTTTAATAATGTGACCTGTCAGCTGTTTGTTAGCTGGTTGTTCCTTGTGAACACTGTATGCATCATTGTTTTGCATCTTGTGTTCACTTAATAATTTTGAGCTGTCCTTGAAAGATACCATTTATAGTGCAGTGCTGAATAAAATACATAAACTATAAGTTAAATAGAAGTAGACAACATTGTATAATGTTAATGATAAAAATGAGGAATCAGTAGTTACTGTATATACAGTGGTGTGAAAAAGTGTTTGCCCCCTTACTGATTTCTTATCTTTTTGCATGTTTGTCATACTGTAATGTTTCAGATCATCAAACAAATTTAAATATTAGTCAACGATAACACAAGTAAACACATCATGCAGTTTTTAAATGAAGGTTTTTATTATTAAGGGAAAACAAAATCCAAAACTACAAAGCCCTGTGTGAATAAGTGTTTGCCCCCTAAACCTAATAACTGGTTGGGCCACCCTTAGCAGCAACAACTGCAATCAAGCGTTTTCGATAACTTGCCATGAGTCTTTTACAGCGCTGTGGAGGAATTTTGGCCCACTCATCTTTGCAGAATTGTTGTAAGTCAGCCACATTGGAGGGTTTTCGGGCATGAACTGCCTTTTTAAGGTCATGCCACAGCATCTCAATTGGATTCAGGTCAGGACTTTGACTAGGCCACTCCAAAGTCTTCATTTTGTTTTTCTTCAGCCATTCAGAAGTGGACTTGCTGGTGTGCTTTGGATCATTGTCCTGCTGCAGAACCCAAGTTCGCTTCAGCTTGAGGTCACAAACGGATGGCCGGACATTCTCCTTCAGGATATTTTGGTACACAGCAGAATTCATGGTTCCATTTATCACAGCAAGTCTTCCAGGGCCTGAAGCAGCAAAACAGCCCCAGACCATCCCATT